TACTTAAAGAAAAAAGGCGCTGAACTTTAAAGATTAAGTTGCTGAATAAGTCCCAATAAAGGGACGAAACGTCCAACTTAGTTAAATTAAGTTCTACTTCTTTTTATGTCCAAGTTCCCTATGAACCCTTATCATCAAGAATTATTATTTATATCAAGGAGTTTCGAATGGGATAAAAGTCAAGAAAGAAGTCAAGAAGTCAAGAAAGAAAGGAAAAGGAAAAGGAAAAGGAAGGTGGTCCAACCAGATCGAGTGTGTAAGAACCGAAACAGGTGCTTGAGAATCCGGTGTGTTCTTCTTGGCGTGTGCCGACTAAGTATACTGGCTTAATAACGCACCCGGACCAACCGTATGGACGAACAGCACGCACACATTAACATAAAGACAGGCTGTATAGAAACGATGGTATCGATCAATAGCCCGGGCTACGTAACTAGTTATCGACGGATGGGAACACCATGAAATTTTCGTTCATTTCTTTTTTTCTTAATTCTTTTTTTTTTCTTATCCACTCAGACACACTAGGGACGTGAGTTGATTATAAAGTTGAGAATAAGGAACGGCAGAAAAAAAAGAAATAAAAAAGTAAGCATCTCGAGATTTTAGTATCGAACGATACAAGCAAAAACAAAACAAAAAATAATGAAAGAGAGAAATTATGAAAGAATGTAAGAGAGAGAGAAAAAAAAATATATAAATGGAAAATATCGTTCCGATACGAGTGTGTTTCATTTTATCAAATATAATTTTGTTATATTATCAGGTAAAAGAGAGAGATATTATTATTATTGTTATTATATCGGTATGATTCTTTGATAATTAATCGGCAAAATATAATGAATATTTCAATGTATTACACATTGAAAGGACATTTTACTTTCGGAAACAAAATGATCTGTCTCCGATAATTTCGTTTCAACGTTACGATGAATTATTAAACTCTATCGTCGAATTACTAAATAGATAGGGGGTTGGGGGATGGAGGTGGGGTGGGTCAAACGATATAATCACCATAGATCTGAATTATTAAACATTGACAAATAAACAACGCGATATACTCGTTTTATTATTTACAAATGTTCGTCAAAATATTTTCTTCTTTATTTCACTATCGAAAAGAAAAGAAAAAAGAAATAAATGATTAAAATGATTTGCGATGAATTACAAAATAAAAAGAAGAAGAAGAATAAAAATTAATAACAAACCAAAATACTTTTAAAAGAAAATTTATTCTAGAATTATTCGACATCGAATGCAAATAATATTTTAATTTATAATTGATTAAATATTTGCCAATTATTTTTTCTATAAGTAGTAGTATACTACCACCACAAAATAAAATAAAAATTAACGATTAATATTTAACAAGTATACGTTATTACAAAATAAAAACAAGAAGGAGAAGAAAACAAATTAATAAGAAACCGAAATACTTTTAGAAGAAGAAGAAAAAGAAGAATACATACACGATTTATTATATAATTATTCGACATAGAATGCAAATAATAATAATGTAATTTATAATTGATAAAATATTTGCCAATTATTTTTTTTATAAGTAGTAGTATACTACCACCACAAAATAAAATAAAAATTAACGATTAATATTTAACAAGTATATGTTATTACAAAATAAAAACAAGAAGAACAAGAATAAAAATTAATAAGAAACCGAAATACTTTTAGAAGAAGAATAAGAAGAAAAAGAAGAATACATACACGATTTATTATAGAATTATTCGACATAGAATGCAAATAATATTTTAATTTATAATTGATTAAATATTTGCCAATTATTTTTTCTATAAGTATAACCACCACAAAATAAAATAAAAAAATATATTACTTATTCTTAGTGGTTTAGAATCAAGATCGTCGACTTCGTCGGGGATTAGTGTTTCACTAGGGTCCGTTACTACGATCGAAAAGAAAAGAATAAGAATACTAAAAAGAAATAAGAATAAGAAGAAGAAGAAGAAGAAGAAACGTAGAGGTACATACACGAGCAGTAGCGTAATGGCGGGTAAAAGAGAGATAGATGGAAAGAAAAAGGTTCTATAAGTAGTGGGGATAAGGCCCAACGGCTAAGTCCCGAGCCCGGTGTAGTATATGGAGTGGGGCACGACAAAGGCACACGGGTAACGCAGGTGAAACGAACGACCGTCTGTTCCGCAGACTGCATTCGCACGGGCCCCTCGTTGTTGCATCGTTGTCGTCTTAAGTCGTTTTATTTATCATCCTGATCATCATCATCATCATCATCATCATTCTCCATCTTCATCATCATCATCATCATCTTCTTCATCATAGTCGTCATCATAGTCATCATCGTTGTTGTAATTCTGTTAGTAAAACGAAGTGAAACAACGAATGAACTTCGTTTTATATTAGCTGCAGTGTTAGGAGTAGTTCACAACGGAAAAGCTAACACCACACCATAGCATGGTCCTTTACCACCATAGTCACTGCCGGCTGCTTCTGGTGGTACGGTGGTGGTAAAGGAGAGAGAAGGGAAGGCCCATCGCGGTTCTCGGGCCTCAGTCAACCGAAGCACGTCACCGTGTGCATTTCGAGACAGGGAAAGAGAGAAAGAGAAAGAGAGAGAGAGAGAGAGAGAGAGAAATAGAGAGAGAGAGAGAGAGAGGAAAGAGGAGGAAACCTTCTTCTTCCATATACTCGCGCGTTGCATTTTTATTTCCGCCGGAAGTATAATTGAAATGTGTATGCGTATGTGTTTGTGTTATTAAGTATTAAATTTCTCTAATAAAACAATCATTGATATATTAATTGAAACTTTAGAAATATTTAATAATATCTACATTTATTATACTCGTGTTGTGTGATAGTTACCATGCATGTATAATATGTGTAAATTTGTATATAAATTTGTGGATGGATATGTATGTCTCTGTGTATGTGTGTACAAGTGACATAAAGAAGAGTCAACGTAACTAATACCAAGACACACGATAAGTCATGTTGAGCAAGTTCGAACTACTTCAAGGGGCTGTCAGCTACTTTCTGTTATCAGGTGCGCGAAATCGATGCTTCTCCTTTGCTATATTATAACTTAATGTTTCTTTATTCGAGAATGTGCAAGCTTGTATAAGTTGAAAGATATCGAGAGATAGTCTTATAAATGTGCATACCTACATGCATAGGATAATCATAGTGTATACGCAGGATAATAATAATAATAATAATAACTAACATTTATCGACGCTTCATCGTCGTCTCGTTATAACTTTACTCCTATCATTTTAAAAATAATTATTATTATTATTATTATTATTATTATTATAGTGGACAAAGGACAAAGGTATTATATTCTTTTACCAATAATCATTTCTTTTTTTCCTCTCTCTCTCTCTCTCTCTCTTTAAACGATCGATAAACTGCAAATCGTAATTCCGAGTATTCGAGATATCAGTTGAATATGTATATATATATATATATATATATATATATATACATGTATCAATACTATGTTTCGTAAATTGAACGGTTTCAAAGACGATGGGGCATCAAAAGCAGTCATCGGTTGGATGACGTAGAGACTATCGAACAATGCAACCGCGGTATTCGCATAAATAGGTCACCGATGATGATACGATCTCGAGAATCGTAAACTCTATCAATGCGACGTTACGATGCTTCATCGACGTTTTTACGTCTTCTTCTGAGTAGCAGCAGAAACAGCAGCAACAGCAGCAATGAGTAGAGAAACACCAGAAGCAACACACCACCATTGGCAGACATTCCTATGAAAGCATTTATCCCCATACAACCACCACCACGAGAAGTGATCATTCTGTTCCTTTATCTCTTCCATTAGACCTTTTTTCTGAAGTAAACGGACAAGCCTATTTAGTTTGAGATTAAAGTCGACTTTTAAATACTTCCGATTATCTCTTTCTCTTTCTTTTCTCCTTTTTTTTCTTCGCGTCTAATTATTCCGAATTAATTTTAATTTCAGATTACATATCTTATACAACGAGTTATATTTTCAATTAATCTTACGATGAACAATAATAATTGTATTCGTATTTATTTATTTATTTATTTAATTTTTGTTTCTATCATCTACGATCAGATATTTCATACAAAATATCATACGTTTGATATTTTTTCTTGGTGTTTCAATCGATTAGATTGATGGAAGTGGCGGGAAAAGTTTTCCTTCCTAGTAGAATAGGTAGTAGTAGTAGTAATGGGGAAAAAATAGTGGGGGGTACCCTTCTGTAATCCCATTCGACGGCTGTTCCGGTACACCCTTCGTTTTTACTTCTCTTTCTTTCTTTCTTTCTTTATTTCTCTCTTTCAAAATGTATACAACACACACGTGAAGTTTATCGTTGCAGCAGCCAATACCAACCATCCACCACACATATTTTCCTTTTTTTTTTTTTTTTCTTCCTCCTCGTACCTTCGTTTCTCTGCCATTACACACTTCCGTTCTATCGTTCATATATACAACGACAGAAAAATTATCCGCAGGAAGGTTTTTGTTCCAAAAGAATTCTACCATTTTTTTGTACTTTTTGTTTCGTCATATTTTATTTTCTAATTTCGTCAGGATAGAAAATTACGTTCGAGAAATGGGGTTGAAGACAAATTGGGTCAATGTGAAATTCGTACATTTTAAACAACGTTTATTGTATCATTGTTTGTAGAACACTGATAGAAATATACGTTGTTCTATTAGATTTATTTTGCATTAATTTTGATATTACGATTATTAAAATATTTATATAACACACGTCGTATTACGTATATCGATTAAATAATAGATTTACGATGGAAACAATAAAACAAGCTTACATTTATTTGTTCTATGGAGAATGATGTTAATTATTTCCTTCTTATTTTTGTGTGCAATATCATTGGACATTAACTATTCACACGTATCATTAATTGTGATTTTTTCTTATCATTGTTTCAGGAAGAGAAAACAGACAAACAAACAATAACAACAACAACAACAACAACAATAACAACAACAACAACAACTTTGCCGCGTAAGCAAATAATCCAATTTTATATTATAATATTTAAAATAGCGATTTTTGAATGGTGTTACATGTTTTTCACTTACATTATTTATTATTATTCAAAAATCATTATGCATTTTATTTTCCATTAATTTAATTATCATTAATATTTGCACTTCATTCTATCGTTAACATACGTTCATAAATATTTGTGCAATAAACCTAACAAACAAATAAATAAAAAAAAAATAAAAAAACAAGTCGTGCTCTTAGACTGTATTTCAGCTGTCTCGATTGTCTCTTTAAACGAAAAAAAAATAAAAATTATAAAAAATATTTTCAATGACACACGCTTCGCGACTTTTTTCGAAAAATTTTCGTAGCATTATTTAAGTGCACGCAAAACTAATTATATGTAATATATTTTTTCTTTTAGTTTTTCTTATCTAATCGTTCGTTTACAATTGCGTTCATGTTTTTAACGAAAACGGTTTGTTCGTAAGAAATATTTCTGGTTAAATCGTGTTAAACGAAACAATTTAAAGAAAATTATATATATATATATACATATATATATATCTGTGTGTCTCTTTCTATTTCGTTTTCATCTTTTCTCATTTAACGACGAATTTACGACCACCCGACGGGATATCCTGTCATATTTCATTCGCAGTTCGAACGAAAACCGATTAACATCAATGTGTGCCTGTGCTTGTTGTGCCTATCTAAAACGTTGTGTGTTGTGTGTCATTTAGTGAATTATATTCGCGAGGGTCAATATTATTTTCTAATTCTCATCATCATTTTTCGTCAATTCACGGCGGACTATTTTAGAAAATCAAACGATCTAAAATTTTTCTATTTTATTATTATTATTTTCATTTAATAGATTTCCATACGATCAAATTTTGTAATTAACACACGCGTGTATTATATCTCAACGATCCATTTACTAAATACTTTTCTCTCACGTTTGTTTAAATAATTTTCTAATTAAAATAGTGATCGATATATTGTATCAATTTTGTAAATAATTCTTACGAATTTATGAATAACGATTTAACGATTTAATTAATATCATTTTCTTTTTCTACTTTGTTAACAATCTATCGTTTAAATATCCTGATCGGTTTATTTCATTTTGTTTTTTTATTTTCCGTTCCTATACATTTACAAAGTTCATAGAATTTTAATCTATCCACTCGCGTAACAATTTCAATCGTCGAATATCGTTTATTAAACATTCGTCTGTAACGTGCAACTAATTCGAATCATATTTCATAAACGAGAGACTGTGGGTGTTCGTATTTCTTCGTTTTGTATACGCAAAGCAACGCATAATAATATCGTTCCTCTTTTCATCACTTCTCTCTCTCTCTTTCTTTCTTTCTCTTTACTTATGGATAACGTTTAACAGAGTTTTCGGTTTCGACCCCTCTTCTCTCTCTTTCTAACTGCCTTTAATAATCACTATACACGCCCTCGAACCGAAAACTGGGTCATACCCGTTTATATCGACGAAAATTAACAGTCATTGTATGAACTCATCTACAAATGAAATAATTCAATCAATTTTTTATTTTTTGATTCTATCAAAATACGAAATAAACTGTTTCTACTGTTCGTATGATTTATTCAATTCAATTTCTAAATTGTCAGATATTATTTCGCGAAAAATACGTAAAGAATATAAAATTTATCATCATAACGTTTATATTATAAAATCAAAAATAAGTTCTTTGCAGTACATACGAATAAAATATATTTCAGAAACAGAAAGAAAGAAACAGAAATAAAATTAGTTTAATGTGTAACGTATAAAATAGATAAAAAGAAAAAGAAAAAGAAAAATAAATGAACTTGTTAATTATTATCGAGTAAGTAACACGCGACCTTGTTCGATAACGTTACACCCACATATGTTACACATATACACACGTTTATACTTAGTTAGAAAAGTTGGTGCTTGAAACTGGAACGATAAGGCGTTTCGGTTTCGTCGATTTGTTAGCAACAAGTCGCGATAAAACGATGAGAATCTGTCTACATATTTCTTTTTATTTCTTATTTTTTTTTCATTCTCTTTTTATTTCTCCATTTTTTTTTTTTTTTTTTTNTTTTTTTTTTTTTTTTTCTATGGTTATTTATCCAGAGAACGCGTTATCTTCGGTAATTTCTAACGTTGAACGAAACACTTTGTATGCGAAAACGATATTACGTTGAATACGATTAATTATTGCACAATATTTTTTTTATCTTTATTTTTTTTTTCTCTTGATATCCGTCATGGTATTATAAAATAATAATAATAATAATAAACGATTGAGATTAAATATATTAATCGAAAATACTTTATTATATTATCGGACGTTATTTTATCATTTATCTGTAAACGAGTTAATAAATTAGCATATAATCATTTTATTATATGATTGAATTTTTTTGTTTTTTTTTTGTTCAATTCCTTTCTCGTGATATTGGAGAAAAAAAAAAAATGAAATATAAAATAGGACGACCGTGACAATTCCCTTCGTGTAAAATTAACTCGAATTATATTATATAATATCAATTTGTTAATTCTTCAACATTGATATACACGAATCAAAGAATGTTTTTTTCTACCTTTTTCGCATAATTACGAATACTCGATTAAATTCATTCCAAAATATATTGCTATGTAACATAATATCATATGTGCAAAGAATAATATCGACGGGTATAATTAATGTTAATTAATTTACATTAAAGGTACGAAAATGAAATTAAATAACACAAGATTTCGGTAACCGATTGTATAATTTGAACACGTACGTGATACAAATTCAAATCTAAGATAATCGTAACGATAATTATCCATTTCCTTATTTTTTTTCTTTTTTACATGATATAATTTGAAAGTAATTAATAATATTTATGAAAAATTTTCATATAGAAACTGCTGGCATATTATATTATCAATTTATTTTTTATTATTCATTAACACATTAAATTAAACGTGAGATAAATTATTTATGAACGTATGTTATTTAAGAATAAGATTTATAATTTCATATATATATATATATATTTTTTTTTTCTTCTGATGAAATTTAAAAAATAATAATTAGACAACACAACCTACAAAGAATATTAAAAATCAACAAGATTGTAGATACTAACCCTATACTATTACAAAAATCTTTCATCTATGATTAACAATAATCACTCCTTCTTTTTTCATTTCTTTTATCATTCATCCATCTATCCTATATTCATATATTCATCCAACATCCATCTAAATTCAACTCTCTGTCCGTCTAAATAACTATACTTTCTAACAACTATCATAATATACTGCTTAACGTTTACCGTACTTTTCTAAATGTTATCATCAACTTTAATCTAACAACTATCAATTATGTGACATGATCTTTCGCAAAACTAATTCACGCATTTATACACAAATTATTCTAACAAATATGTTATCATCAACTCTCTCTCTCTCTCACACACATATACATACATACATACAATCACACACGTTCGTTCCGACATTTTCACCATATGCAACATATATTAATATATAATTAATTGTGTGTTAAAACATTTCAATAATATTTCCCTATAATTAAAAGCTTTCCAATAATCAATTATGCATTTTCACGTGTCATTCTATTTAAAACAGATATGCATTTGTATCTGTATAGGAGGGGGTAGGGTAGGTTAGGGAAGGGGGGGAGTGGGGAGGATGTTAATCAAGTCGTTTAACTAACCACCTATCGTAGACCATTTCTTTTTCCGTGTGTTGTAATACCGTTTACTACCTCTTAACCCGTTTTTCACTTGAATTTAACACAACTGACCTACATTGACGGTGCCGGTGATTAGTGGAGTCTCGTTACGCGCTCTCATCCGAGATTTCATTCTGCATTTCTCGTTTAAACCAATAGATATATGCTCTGGTGCACGTGTATGCGAGAGGACAGGCCCCCCATACACATACACATATTTCTACATGCCCATACAGTGGTTTGTATTCACTTCAACACTTTCTGATTGTTTTCTTTTTTTTTTGTTTAAATTGTATTTCTCAGTTTATTTGATATTTTTTTTGTTTGTTTTTCTATTTATTTATATATCCTAGGTATATCGTTTATCAAAGTGAAAATAATTTCGATCTCCGTTCTGGATAATTTTAATTACTGTATCCAATACAATATAGTATACAAATAGCTATAGTATCTTCTTTATCACTTTTATTCTTTCACTCTCTCTCTCTCTCTTCTCTTCTCTTCTCTATCTATTTTTCGATTCAACTACATATATATATATATAGGTTGGTGGAAAAGCATTGCCTGCAAAAGCAATAAACGATCGTAAACGATTTGCCCCACGTATGTACATATCTATGAATAGCGAGATAGTGTACGATACGAATCGTTTTCGTTACGGATATTGCCAGTTCACGATTGCTCCAGACTCGTCTTTTTTAACATCATTGCGTGGCGGGAACAAACACACATACATACACACACACAGATAGATAAATACAGTATCGATACTAAGAAGAATGAGGATTTGAAACGATTTATTTTTACACGTTGGTCATAATTGTCTTCGCAGTAAATTAAATTATCTGCACGTTTTTTTTTTATACGGGCCAATCAAAATTTCGGCATATTCAATTGGAAAAATCAAACGTGTTTACTTTTCTACGAATAATAAAAAGATAAACGAAAATAATTATTGAAATTATTTCATTGTATTTTTGAAACCTTTGAAATAGTGTTCTTGTTTCAAATATTAAAAGTATAATCGTCGATTATCGTGTTACTYGTTGTTTATATGAATTCATAAAAATTCCATACGGTTATCTGCTTCGTGAAATTTGCTCGTAATTGTCTTCGCAGTAAATTAAATTATGTTGAAGTTTGTTTTTTATACGGGCCAATCAAAATTTTGACATATTCAATTGGAAAAATCAAACGTGTTTACTTTTCTACGAAACAAAAAAAAAAGAAAAATGAAAAATTACGCGAGATAACTAT